TTTGCCAGGGACCTTGTCAGAGCCCGAGCAGTGTTCTCGGGCAGATACATATCACCCCAGGCAGGCCAATTCACCAGTTATACCCTAATTCTTCATGGCCATTTCAAATAACTCCTATTCTGTAACAAAACTACTAAACTCTAGTTCTAGTAGTCTCTGTCATGATACAGTCTAAGTCAAGTGCTTTTATTCCTATTTATCAATAAGGTATACTATGCTTATATCGGTCACTAACAAATAGTAAGAACTTGGCAGGTCTTCTTCAGATCCCTACATTTAAAGGTCAAACTAATATAATTCTATCTATTTATACTTTGCTTCCACATCCACTAAGATTAAGCACAGTCTAGCGGAACACAAAGCACATCTATATGAGTTAAATGGTCACCTGTACTTCTTCTTAGGTTAGCAGTGAATCAGCTAACACAAAGAGTGACTCAACTCATCATCGAAGCATAAATCCAAAGCTCCATGAAATCTGCCCCAAGTCCTGGTCCCTAAGATACTCACAGGGACCTAGCTCATGTATGTACCTGAAGTGTATGAAATATAATCTCTATCAATCCACCTTAATTACACAAAGCAAGACCATGAGAACAAAAAGAAAAGAGAAGAAAACATATCTGGCATGAACAGATAGAGAAGAGAACAGATATAGTAGGGTAGAGACAGTGTAAATTTTTTCCAGAATCATTATAAAGCAAACATTTGAAAGAGAAATTACTTATTTACAAACCAATATAAATAACAAAATACTTAAGTATAAATGTAACGCATGTTTAAAATCTGTAAGAAAATACTAAGGCATTCCTGAAGACAAATGGGAAGATAACCCTCATTCTTGAGTAGGGTATTTCAACGCCACTGTCTTGGTCTGTTTTCTGTTCCTTTAATAAAATATCATGGCAGATAATTTTATAAAGATCTTTAGTTCACAGTTCTGGAAATCCAAGAGCATAGCCTTCCATACATGGGAGACTTTTCATGGGACATCAGCCTAGCAGGTACTGGTATTGCTAGACTGATGCTGAAGGCCTCAGAGTAGAAACCACAAGAAAAAGTATCCAGGAGAGGCCAGGGGAAGTGCTAACCTTATCTCCTAAGAACCCACTCTAGATAATTCTTTTCAAGGGCACCACAATCCCTAATGAAGGTGATGCCCCCCCTGACTATGATTACTTCTTAATGGCCCCACAACATCTAATACCATTACACAGGCAATTGAATCACAACATCTGTCTGGATCTACAAATGTCCCATGAAAAGTCTCCCATGTATGGAAGGTGACTAGAACATGGGGCACTACCCTCACCTGTGGATTAGTCAGCACATGAGTTCACAACTGACTTGCTATTAGGAGGTGGAGCCTGCTTAGAGGCAGAACTTAGAAGCAGTTCTTGCCCCTGCTTCTCCCTTCTCCCTCTACTTTCTGGCTGGCACAAATTGAGCAGCTTTCCTTCTTCAGGTCCCTCTGCCCTTGTGTTTCTGCCTTGAAGCCACTCAAGCAGAATCAAAATAAAGCTTACCTCCTTTAAACTGAGCGTTGCATATTTTGTTCCACCAATGAGAATAATGAGTTCTAGCAGGCATAAGTAACATCCAACCTATACCAACCAACAAAATGTCAGTAGTACCTGAATTCGAATAGGACACTAATATGGACCCAATAAAATCATCAGTGAGCTCTATTTGTATCAGTGTGTGGCAAAGTGAACATAGCTAGGGAAACACTAAAAAGGTTAAGCTATGAAGAGGGAATAATCCTATCCAATATTAAAACAGCACAGTCAGGCATGGTGGCACACATCTGTAATCCTAGCACTTGGGAGGCTGAGGCAAAAGGCTTGCCACAATTTCAAGGCCAGCTTGGGCTACACAGTGAGTTCAAATCTAGCCTGACCTACATAGCAAGACCAAGTCTCAAAAATAATCAATCAATAAATAAATAAATATGTAAAAAACTAAAAACTAAAACACAACACAATGCTATCATAAAGGTATAATATTAGTGCACAAATGGACAGACCAAAAGAATGAAACAGAAAATCCAGAAATTACAAATGGAATTTTAGTAGACAATATAGTGAGTGGTCTCAACACTTTGGGTTGACAATAAACTTTAAATGAATAGTGTTGAGACAACAGCAGAGCTATTTGAAAAAGGATCAAATGATATCCATTCGTCTTCCAAAATAAAAGAATTATGTGTGATTTTAATAAATGAAATAGTATATGGGTGAATTCTACTGTAAGTCATTCTATAATCTGTTGGTAGTAAAAGGTTATGATTTTTTCTTTAAAAAAAGTTGATAAACAATTGTGTAAAATTTTAAATAAACATACAAGAGTTTTCAAATAAAGTCAAACTGGAGAAAATACTGTAATGTAAGGCTCCATTCTTCATTCATCGGGATGACAAAATTTCAAAAGCTTTGTAACACATTCTGTTAATTAGGATGTAGACAGCAGTAAGGCCGCATCACAAATTGTTGGCAAGAATGCAAAGAAACCCTTCATGGGCAAAAGAGGTAATATCTTCAACAGAATAATCCCACTTCAAGGCATTTCACCTGGAGATTCACCTGCCCAAAATACAAATGTACATATGGCAAGGCTATGTGAGGTTCCATTATTCATAATACAAAATACTGGAAATTACCAAGTATCCTATCAGAGAGTTTCACATATATTTCCGGAATATCTTAAGCAGAAAAAAATGAAGAACAAGTAATTATATACAGTGTGCTACCTTTGTGTAAGAAAGGGGAAATTACAAAACAAGCACATACTCAGGTATTCATCTTCCAAAGAGAAGCATAGGAGGACAAACCAGAAAACAGTCTCCTGGAAACCTGTGAGGGTGGGTGAGCTAAGAAGGACAGGTGACAGAGGGATTCACCTAAGTAAACCCTTACAAGCTTTCAACATTGTTTTTTACTCAGCATCTCATCATGTAGTTTAGGATAGCCTTGAACTCTCGGTGACCCTCATGCCTCAGCATCCCTAGTGCATGGCTTCAATATTTTGAAGGACATTTAATAATGCACTACAAAGAACTGTATTTCAAATATATAAAACAGTCACTCTAAAAGGGAGGGAAAAAAGAACTAATTCAAGCTAACTTCTGAGCACTATCTTGAATACATACCCATATAGGAGCAGGACAGAGATGATGGAAAACAAAATCCTGAACCCTTCTTTGCAGGCTGCTTTTTAGGGATAAGTGGTAGAGGCAACAATGTGATGAAGCATTTCTGAAATTCTTTTAAATGCATTATAGCTTTAAACAAATTGTTAACATTAGGAGTCAAGATTCTAATTGCGGAACTGAAAGGAGATAAAATCGATAAGAAGAGAAGGCAAGAAAGATCTTGAAGGAATGGGCTGGAAGTAGAGGCATCAGTATAAACACACAATTCTGTGGGTGTCTAAGGTTTGTATTTATCAGCTCTGTCCCTGAAGGGACCTCTTCCCACAAGCAAAGATACCCTGATAGCAGTACACATGGCCAATGGCAAAGCATACTAAAGGAAAACACAATTTCTTTGAAAGATAGCTAATTTCACAATTAGTACACAAAAGTGTAAGAATATTTTGAGATGACAGAAAATAAGAAAACTTTTAAAAATTGATGGAGGCATGCTAAAACACCACAAGAAGTGGTTGAAAAATGCTTCTAGTGACCAGATCTGCAACAACTCCAACACCAAAATAACCAGAAGGGAATATGTAAGTCCTCAAGGTGGAAGGGTCACTACCAAAGACTTCATTATGTGTAAGTCAAGAGATAGTCAAAAACTCTTCCTCACGGTAGACTGAGTGCTAAGTTATGCATGTGGAAGGAGTGCCAGAACTGTGTACCAGCAACTTGCAAATGCCAAAGCAAGGACTCATGTAAGAACCCATAACCAATGCTAACCATAGTAATAACATTTGGATAGCCACAGTGGTCCACCACTTCCAACCAGATCACACCCCTAATAGTAAATCAGCTATACAGACCCCATATGCAAACACCTTCCCAAGGTCCCATCTCTGGGCCCACAAGTGGGTACATGATTTAAAAGACTGTTCACCCAGACCACTTGCAAGAGGAAAAGTGACTATGTGCTGTGGAGGAACTGAACAATGCTTTTGCTGAGTGATCAACATCACCAGTAAAGCACAAAGGTGACTGTGACTGTGACAGCCTGAGAAAAACACAACATCACGTGTGTTACTCTGATCAGGAGTATATATCCTGACCACAAGCATGAGGCAAACAAAAATAAATAACATTTAACAAGGAGGGCAGGGAGTCTCTATTCTCCAAACCTGTCACTGTGAAAGACATAAACTAAGAAACTCTTCTTTGAACAGAGAAAACACACATGGATGAGATTAAAGGCTGAGAGACTAAAGTATCATTACATTTTCTGAGTTAGTATTTGTGCTGTGGTTATGAGAGAATGTTCTTATGCTTAATAAAACACACTGAAGCTTTTAGGGATAAAAAAGGATACTGTAACTTATTGCCAAATGGTTTGGAAAAATACAATTTATAGAGAAAGAACCAATGATCAAACAGAACAAAGTATTTAATAACTTATACATCCAAATAATAGATTTATGGGAAGTCCTTGCACTATTTTTGCATACTTTCTCATCACTGAATCATATTATCTGACATCTACAATTTAAGGTTAGTTTATTTTGGCTCATAGTTTGCAGAGATTTTGGTCCCTAGTTGGCTGGCTCCAAGGCAGGTCAGTATGGAAGAGAAGCAGCCCATGGCAGGGCAGGCAAGATGCAGAGAGCAAAGGGAGGAGCCAGGAAGGAAGTTAAAACCGTGATGATCCCACTCTTTGATCAGATCCAACCTCCTAACAGTATGTCCCATAATACAATCACCTCCCAGAGATCCCATCTCTAGAGCACAGGAGGCTTTGGGGGTATCTAGATCTAATACTCTCCATAAGTTTGCATATTTTATTAAACTAAAATTAAAAGGCAAACCTTACATTTCTCAGTGCTTCATAAACAGCTCTAAATGCTGGCTGCTTATCATCATGGTAAACACCTCTGTTCCCATGAAGAATGAAGATTCCTTCTTCTTCTGCTTCCTGACAGTTGCTTCCATATATGCAATGATCAGGTCGGTAATTCCATTGACATGGAAAAACAAAAAGGCTTTCTACACAAAGAAAAATCAAACAATGAAACAACTCTAATTCTACAGGATTAACACCTCTCAAAATTTTTAGTTTAAAAACACATATCTTAGCAAATAAGACTTGAAATAGTGAAATGTATGTTTGATATTTAGATCTCTTCCATCTAAAGAAAAATTAACAGTCTGTCTAAAATGTAAATAGTGGCATAAACCAAAATCAAATAAATGCATTTCTCCCCTTTTAACTAAGTATTATCTGCAATTTCTTTTTACAAATATAGAGAATAAAAGGAATTTAAGTGATTACCTGGATTATGAAAAAACATGATATTCAACAGATCTTGATCACCCCATGTGATGTTCAGTTTGTATTTTTTAAGCAAAGGCATAAGGATTTCTCCCCACTGCAGCCGTACTGGTGTCATGTCATTCTGTTGATAAAAGTATTAAAAGGATTTTCAAAATTCCAGGTTTCAATGGCAGCATGATAGCTCCCACTCCTCCTTTAGCAACCATTACAGTGTCATGGAGAACTGCAGGCTCCTCTTATTTAAAAAAACCAAGTGACATTTACTGTCCTTTGTGCAGCAAAGGGGGCTGCACAAAGATAGCGAAGATACCTGAAACTACATATATTGGCAATAAAATAAAAGAGATAGAATAGTTTAAGTACTACTTAATTATTACATCTTAGTTTTAAGATGAGGGCTGAGGAAAGATGAAAATTCTCAATAAGAAAACTTAAGAGACTGAGATTTCTAAGATCTACAGTACAGTAAGACTGTTCTGAGAGTCTACACTTACGTAACTTTTATCAAGACTGTTACAATTTTTCTATTTTCTTATTATTGTGCTAATTTCTTACTGTGCTAATTAACAGGTGACATTTCCTTCCAGCTCCATATGTACAGAGCTTGGTATACCACTTCACCTTACGGGATCCACTGAGGGTCTTGGGCCATATTCCCCTGAAAAACAGAGGAGCACTACTATGCTGCAAATAGATACAAACTGATGAAATTCTACTGTTTTGCTCTTCATCACGCATCTCTTTCTCCATTGCAAAGTACATTGATTTTTAGTGTGTAATTTTAGTGGTGTGCATTTTTAAATTTGATTTATCAATTTCAAATGCTCTATTTGAGCATCTAATTATAAAAGCATTAAAACAATGTATCACATATCATGTACTAAGTATTGTTCTACCCACTTTTTATTATACATTTATTAAGAGGCTTAATAATCAATTCTGACACACAGATACTTAAAATTGCTGCATTTTAAAGACACTGTCATAATCTTAAAAACATATATTTAGACATAAAAATACATGTAATCATTAAAAAATCAACTGACTAGATATGTGTATGAAAAGAAATATCTATTAAAAGAAAATCTATCAAAAATAAATTATAGGGTCTAGTGCAATCTTTTCAGAAAAAATATCAAAAACTACAACATAACGGAAAAAATTCTATTAGAAAAATACTGGAAAGAAGTGATAACAGTAGTATTATTTGATGATGGTATAACTAAGAGTATTTATAACTAGTGAAAAACTCTGAGAAATTAATAAGGAAGCATATATAAATCATGTACTAAAACCTCACAATAAATGTAATCATACGTACTACACATAAAAGTTTAAAAACTAAAAATTAAAAGGAGTTCAAGTAGGAAAGACAGCCAAGAAATGAGCAAAGAATATGGGTAAACAGCCATTCACAAAGGAAAAAAGGGAAATGGTGATAAATTACATAAAAAAGATTGTTTTTGTTTTTTTCATTGAGATAGGGTCTCACTATAGAGTTCAGACTGCCTTGAACTCAAACTTGCAGCAATTCTCACGCCTCAATCTCCTGAGTGTTGGGATTACAGGTATGCACCACCATGCCTGGCAATGTGAAAAGATTTTTAATCACAGTGATTGGTATAATAAGGAAAATACAAACTAAAGTATCTTTTTTTAGCCATAGATGTATACATCCATATAAAATATACAATTATATCCAATCATCCATTATCTAAAACATCACAGACATACTAGAAATGTAATTATGTGTACTGACATAGAAATCAATTGTATACTTACTAAACTTAACAGGCAAGCTGAAGATATAGAAAAGGATCTTATATAAGAGTTTATATGCATATTTACTTGCTTCAAAGTACATTTTTAAGAAGTCTGAAGAGTATATAGCAAAGTTTATAGTGTCACTTTGTCCAAAGCATAAAACTTGGGAGAGATGTGTAAACAGGAAACCTCTTTTTATTTATTACCTCTTTAATACCGAATTTGGCTTTCATAAGCAAAATTTTGTTTTACAATTTTTAAGATACTTTTTATTATTAACAATATACTAACTGGACAAAATCTTTTCACTGTATTTCTATATACATATGTATTATAAACTCCTTCTCGCTACTCTCTCCAATTCCCCTCCCAGGGCTTAACAGTGTGTCTTGTAATTTCAGGTGTTTTTTTTTTTTTTTTTTTTTTGAAGTATACACATATGAGAAATAGTTTTGCAATTTTTAAAACAGAAAAATATAGCTCTAATTTTATCAAGTCTATTTCCAAAATGCGTACTATCTTATATTAAGGTCAATTAACTTCATTTTGGAATTATTCATGATTTTGAAAATGGGAAGATTCGTTTTCAGCCTATGCTACACTTAAATATAAAATTGGGATTTAGCTCAGCGGCATAAGCACCTGGCGGTCGTGAAACTCAAACATTCCTCAGGATTAGTTACTTCACTTTGGAAAGTTTCATACTCCTTTGATGTTCACTGCTATTGTTATACCCTCATAAGCTATTTACATTAACACAATAAAACTCTTCTATTACATATATCGTTCAGATATGTAAAAACATGCTCACCTCATACAGTGTATTCTCTTCCCCCGTATTTTTCAATAATTCATTTATGAAATCATTTCTAAACCATCAGTCTAACTATTCTCGCAGATAATTAGTGACTAAGGGGTTACTCCATTAGGCGCCCCGCCAAGTACTCTGAATATTGAGCTACAGAAGAGACAAAGCTAGCCTTCAGTAGGTAACAAAAAGAGACTAAGAACACTTTACTAAGTAATAAACAATAGGACATCAACACGGTTCAGATACATACAACAGAAGGATTTCTAGGATTTCTAAGGATTTCTTTGGTTTTTAATGAAATTAAAGGTTAAGAAAAATTAAAGTGATTTTTTTAAAAAGAGAGAAAAGAAATACCCTAGTGACGATCTGAAACTGCAAAAACTGTTAACACAAAAAGCAAATATAGCTTACCCAATGTGACATCATTGTCTATCAAGCATAAGAAAATGTAGACTTTTTAGTATTTGAACTTTTTAACATGTTATTTTAATGTATTATGTTGAAATTCAACAGCCATTAATGGTTAAGAAATAAGTGACAAAGAATTTAAAATATGACATTTATCCTGTATGAGGAATCCTATGGGCCTTCATATGATTAGAACAATAAATAACAGTCATGGATCTGTGTGGAACAACTTTGAAAGTGATCACAACTAATTAAGTTGTGTGGCTAAAGATTTCAAATTTAAGATCTGTGCCAGAACTTTAGAATTAATAGAAAAAGCCAAGGTTCTGTTTGCTAAAGACATAGACAGGAAACTATCACAAAAAACAAATATAGATGAGAAAATAAATTTAAAATCAATAAATTATATAAACCATTTCAGCAATCATAAATATAACCACTCAAAAATGAAGTAAATCTGAGTGTGTTCTCATAGTTCCAGAATAAGGTTGTCTGTAACAAAGTTAATGAGTCTGAGTAAATTGTGCCTATTGAATTAAGGCACAATCAGTCCTGTCATCCCTTCCTTCATAAAGTCATTAATGCAAGAAAAAAAAAAACTCAGAAGATTTAGCAATTATTTTACACTCCTCTTCTACATTTCTACCTGGCTTAAAATATTCCATAAACAAAAACCAAAGGAGAGAAAAAGAAAATGAATATGTAAGATGGTCATTTCAATAAGCAAAAGGTAAATAAATAATAATGGAATTAAACCATAGTTACATTTTCATTTTAAGAATCAATGATGTTAAATTATTTCTATAGTTCTTTGCCAGACGCTTGTAATTCTGTGAATTTCAAATGCAGTTATTGAGAAGTCACATTATTTCTTAGTAGATAATCTTAGAGCACCATCTTCTGGTATAATATCACCAAGCATAGTCTAGCAATCAGAAAATAACACGCTAGTAGGGCAGTTTTACTTAGTAGTAAAACTTCATGGTTCATGAAATTTTAAAACTCAAAACACAATAAACTGAGGAAATTGAAGAAAGATGTTCATTATTAAGGAAAAGCAGAGATCATTTCACCCTAGTCTCATTAATGCATCTGATTTGGGGAGAAAAAACTGAATTGAAATCAGGATTTTTAAAAGTTCAGGAAATGGAGAGCTAAAAAACCATGTTTACTGTAGCAACAAAATATAGGAATGATGGGTGATACCTATCAGACTTCTAAGCCTTAAATATTGGCATATGGTTACAAGAGCTGCAAGAAGTACTCTTGATCATCAAAAAAAAAAAAAAAAAAAAAAAAAAAGAGGAAGCCACTCTGGATGAGATTTAACACATTCAAAACAGGGTTGTAATTCGTGTGTCTGGCTGCCAGGTGGCTCTGAACCACTGATGATATATAAACCAGGGACAGCCATGTGTGTACCACTTGTGGTCCAAGCCAGAGGAAACATGCTAAAGCAGATATCCAAAAGGGGAAAAAGAAAATAACCATGTAAATTCTGTCCCATCAGAAGCTATAAAAAATACCTAACAAATAAACACATGTACAGACACACATTTGGACTCACATCATAAGGCATAAAATCTTTAATGTTCACTCTAATCCTAACTAGCTATAAAGGAATAAACAGTAGAGGGAAAGTCAACAGTGGATCTCTGCTTAAAAGTCACTGTTTTTAGCTAAAATTTAAAGTCTTTTTACTAAGTATCAGGGTCTATATAAAACATTTTTAATGGATTTCTTTTAAAATAATTTAGATGTCTATTTATTGTTTCTTTTTTTTTTTTGTTAAAGAGGGTAAACTTAAACAGAATAAAACAGATTATAAGGAAACAATTTTAAGAAACACAGACTTCAAAGCAAGACCACTGGAGATCTTCACTGTCTATCATATTGTCTATATTGTCTCTTGTTTTCTTCCAAATAGTCCACATCTTCACACACAATGAATACATACTAAACATTATAGTACTAAACTAATCAGAACAGGATGATGAAGGCTTTTTAGGTCTTCAAGACTAGACATTAGGGAAGTGAACAATGGCTGCCATAATGTCTCTCATTCTCTTCGAAGTAACTGTCCATATCTTTATGTATGTTGAAATTAAACGTAAGAGACTAGATTAATATCAATCTGA